TTACATTAATTGATAAAAGTTATAAATGAAATGTCATTAGTAGTATTTATGTAGGGTTGCTGCAAACATTAAAAAAATTAATTATGGTATGGAATCGAAGCGTACCCAAACGGTTCCATAATTATATTTGGATTCGACGGTTCCATTTATTAAATACTCGAAAGTTTTGGGTCGATTCGGTTCTCTTCAGAATCGAACTGACCCACGGATAGCCCTATTAAAAATAGAGTTGTTTAAATTATAAAAATAAAAATTGAAATAACTTTAAAAACAATAGTGAATTCGCAAACCGTAAAATTTAATGTTGATGTCATGAATGATACTCGAGTATACTTGAACTTGAACTACATGGACTCGATCTAAGTTCACAAATAGTGGTTCCTCTAACCTGAAACAAAGGTGTAGGGGGTAAACTACGTAACTCATTCGATGCTTAATCTATTTTTTTTTATAACCGTGGATGTCCGGGCCAACTTGCTCGCACTTCGACTAATCTCACGGGGCCCTGAAATTTACGGTCAGGTACTCACCTCAGTGGCCCGAGAGATTCGATGCTTAGTCTCAATCAACTATTTATGCACAAAGCTATAAAGTATATGCATATGTGATGTATATTTATGATGGTTTTTAGTATAATTTCAGAAGAATTGTCACGCATGGATCATGGGTAATATGATGGACTCAGGTGTCCTTGTGGGCTTGAGAGACTTGCTACAATTGTACATTGTGGAAATTGCACTCAGGACTATTTTTAAAATTTGCATTTCATAAATCATATTTTAAGTTTCATACTTCAAAATTCATGTTATAATTAATTATTTGATATATATTAAAAAAATATATATTACTAATAACTCACCCCCACACCACCTCATCCCCACGCAACTAAAATCGTGACCTCTCGTTCCTCTGTTTCTCTTTCTATCTCTTCCGTCAGAACCAACCATCGCAGCCTCGTGCAAGGCCATCGCGTGCAGCATAGCGACACTTACAGGGCCACTGCACACTACATCACCACGTTTCACGGGGTGCCATTCTTCTTGGCACATAAAGGAATATCGTGCGGCAGTAGTCTGCGCTGCTAGACTACATTTCGCTTTCTCTAGGTCATTTCAGGACGAAAGATAATTGATTACAATT